TATAAATGTCAATATTATATTCTTACTTGTCTATCTGATAATTTTTATGATTATTATGATAAAACTTACTCTAGTGCAAAGAAAATTTGGAAAACATTGTAGAGTAAGTATGATATCAAAAAGGCGAGAGCGAAAGAATATGCGACTGGTAGATTTTTTCATTTTCAAATGGTGAACAATAAATCAGTGGTAGACCAAGTTCAAGACTTTATAATTGTTGGAGAGCTTAGGCCGGAGGAGGTAAAAGAAGAGATAACATTATTGTTTATGGCATAGTAGATAAATTTTAACCTTGTTGGAAGGAGTTTAAAAGAACTATGCATCACAAATAAAAGAAAAAACCTCTCTTGAAACCTTGATAACGAAAATTTGCATGGAATTAGAGGCAAGGGGCTAAAATGCACTTTTACAAACTGAAGAGAGTAACATCACAACAAAGGTAAATTTAATTACTTCGGATAATGCTACTCTTGAAACTCAGAAAAATACTTCTTTGAAGCCTAAGAAGAAAAAATTCAAGGAAAATAATGATGAAAATAACCAAGCGCATAATCAACAAGTTCAAGACAAAGGAACGTGTTTTGTTTGTGGCAAGAGTAGGCATACTGCTCAATTTTACAATTTCTGGAAAGGTGGTCCTAACCCTCAGGCAAACATTATCGAAGAACCTTTTATGGCAGTTATTACCGACATAAACATGGTTTAGAGTGTTGATGATGGTGCGTTGATTCTGGTGTAAACCTCCATGTCTATTATGACAAAGACTGGTTTAAAAATTATACTCATTTTGAGAGCCCAAAATCATAAAACTTGGTGATGCTCACACTACACTAGTGCTTGGAAAGGGAGATGTCGAATTGTGTTTTACTTCTGGAAGGGTATTAACTTTGAAAGATGTAATTTATACTCCTTCCATGAGAAAATGTTTGATATCTAGTTTTCTTCTTAATAAAGCAGGCTTGAAACAAATTATTGAATCTGATCTATATGTAATAATGAAGAAGGTATTCTTGTGGGAAAAGGGTATGCTTATGATGGGATGTTCAAGTTGAATGTTGAAATGAATAAAGCTTTTGCTTCTATTTATATGCTTTGTTCTACCAATTTTTAGCTGCTCATTTGTGTCATATTAATGAACGTTTATATTGAAATCATGTAATTTAGGATTAATTAATTCCAATGGTGAAAAAGAATTTTGAAAAGTGTGAAACTTGTAGTAAAGTCAAAATATTGAAAGGCCTCATTTTAAAGTTAAAGGAAAAATTGATTTGCTAGAATTAATTCATATTGATATTTGTAAACTTGGTGAAATTTTAACTCGTGGAGGTAATAGATATTTTATCACTTTCATTGATGATTTTTCTAAGTTTACATATGTTTACTTGATGAAAAATAAAGTGATGCTTTTGAAAATTTCAAAACTTATATCCATGAGGTTCAAAATTAGTTTGGAAGAATAATAAAAAGAATTAAAAGTGATAGAGTTGGCCGTGAATATGTGTCAAATGAGCTTAATTCTTTTGTTAGATCATTCGGAATAATTCATGAAACTAATCATCCTTACTCTCACTCATCTCAAGGAATAACGGAAAGGAAAAATAGAACTTTGATTGAATTGACTAATGTCATGCTTAATGAGTCACATGCATCTTTAAATTTTTGGGGTGAAGCTATTTTAACTTCTTGTTATATGTTGAATCATTTGCTTCTTAAAAAATCTAAATTGACACATTTTGATTTTGTGGAAAGATTACAAGCTAAGTTTGGGATATCTAAAAATTTGGGATTGTCTAACCTTTGTGAGGCTAATAAATCCCAAGATTACAAAATTAGGTAAGAAAGTTATTACTTGTGTGCTCTTGGTTATGCTTCAAATAGTACCGCCTATAGATTTTTTAATCTTGAAGATAATATTGTGATAAATCGGGTGATGGTATTTTTCATGAGAAAAAGTTCTTGTTTATTCTAAAAATAGTGGGAGCCTATAGATTTTTTAATCTTGAAGATAATATTATGATAAATCGGGTGATGGTATTTTCCATGAGAAAAAGTTCTTGTTTATTCTAAAAATAGTGGGGGTCAAAGGATTGAACAAAATATTTTCTCATTTTGTGGTTCTTCTACCTCTATTCTGAAAAATAAAGAAGTTAAATGATTATGAGTTTGGAAAAAGTAAAAGAGCTAGAGTAGAAAACGATTTTGGTCCTGATTTTTGTGTATTTAATGTTGGAGATGACCCTCTCACTTTAAAATAAGCATTATTTTCACATGATTCTATTTTTTGGAAAGAGACTGTAAATGATAAAATGAAGTCACTAACTTCTAAAAAAATTTAAAATAATTGATTTCCCATTGGGTTGTAAAACAATTGGTTGCAAATGGATCTTAAAAAAAAGTTGAAACCAGATGATACTATTGATGATAAATATAAGGTTAGACTAGTTGCAAATGGTTCAAAACAACTAGAAAACCTAGAATTGTTTTATACCATCCAAGACTTTTAAATGTTACTACTGCAATTTTTTATCGGCAAATTCATCACTTGGATGTAAAAACAACTTTTTTAAATGGAGACATAAATAAGAAAATTTAAATGGAACAACCTGAGTCTTTTGTTGAAGCGGACCAAGAAAGTAATGTGTTGTAAATTTATTAAATCCCTCTTTGGCTTGAAGCATGCACCAAACTAATTTCATGAAAAGTTCAATTCCGGCATGATTGAAAATGACTTTAATACAAATGAGTATGATAAGTATATATATCATAAGTTTTAAAATAATTCACATGTGATTATTGTTGATCTTTGACTCTAACATAAATATTATTGATGAAGGTGATAATATTCTTAGAAGTCATTTTGATATGAAAGATCTTTGTGAAGCAAATTTTATTCTTGAAATGAAAATAATAAGAACATATGATGACATTTTCCTTAACCAGTCACATTATGTTGAGAAATTTTTGAAAAAATATAACTTTCTTGATTGTATACATGTTGCTACTCATTTTTAATCAAGTGTTCACTTATTTTCGGTTGAAAGTGAAACTAATGTAATAAATCAAAAGGAATGTGCTAGCATAATCGAAAGCTTGAGATATGTGATTGATTGCTCTAGATCTAATATTGCATATGTAGTAGGAGTACTTGACAGATTTATAAGCAAGTCAGGCGATGAACATTGGCATTGCTATAACAAGAGTTATAGATACTTAATTGGAACAAAAAATTGTGGTTTGTTCTATAAAAATATCCTGTTGTACTAGAAGGCTTTTGTAATGCATATTGAAACACTTTATCAGGTGATTCCTGTTCTACACTGATTATGTCTTTACTTTGGGTGGTGGTCTATTTGTTAGAGATTAAAAAAGCAAACTACAATTATTAACTCTATCATAAAGGCTGAACTAATTGTTTTAGCTTCAATTAGTGAGGAAGCGAAATGATTAAGGGATTTATTGTTTCAAATATCTTATTTTGAAAAAAAATAATTTCTTTATTTTAATTCATTGTGATGGCACTGCTGCAATATCTAGAGTTCAAAATTATTGTAACAACGGTAAATCTAGATCTGTAAGGAAAAATCACAGTAATGTAAGATCATATTTGACCAATGGTACCATTAATGTTGATTATGTCAAAATTTGTGATAATCTTGTACATCCTCTTACGAAGGCCTTAACAAGAGAAAAGGTCTATAGAACATCGAGGGGGAAAAGATTGAAGCTTATAAATTCTTAAGTCATATGAGAAAACCCAACCTGGGAGTAGAGATCCTATAACCAAGTTCAAATGGAAAAACTAATTATGTCTTGTTGTTGAAATTCCACTATTTTATTCCCTTGATATGATGTGAGTGCATTATTTCTTGTAGTAATTTGTGAAGGTTGAGTTGATATAGCCCGTATGAGTAGAGTGTTAAGCTTAACAGATTTCATTAATGTGATGTGTAGAAGTAGGTCGCTTTCTGTGAGAATAAGACTTATTCTCAAAAGCACTTATGGAATCGAGATAACACGTGGCCATAAGGTGTTGGCTTTAAAGCTCATGTCAATAGCTTGATTATTATGTATGAGCAGTGATATTTTATTTCCCTTAAGCAGTCATAGTTCAAGACTGAGACCACTACAACTCTGAAGTATAAATTATTGTTTCACTAAGTGGAGGTTCGATGCAGCGAACACCTTCATTATGCATAGTATTCTTCCTTCAGCTGATAGACTCTCTTGTTTAATATTAGAATATTGTTAGTCAACATTTTAATATTAATATTTTATATATTAATATTTTAAAAGTTTGGAGTCAAATGATGTCTTTGTTGTCAAGTTGTTCGTTGGTGGCAATTCATTTGTCTTAAATGGTTGGAAATTTATTTGGAGCATTACTCTATGGAATAAGTGCTGATGTTATTGAATGTTTCTTTTGCAGCATTGTTAGTGGAATCTTGGCCATTAGTTCTCCGTATTATTTATCCCTTATCTCATTCTTTAACATATGTCTCCTAAGGGCATTATCTTCACTATTTATTACATCATTTATCTTCTTATTCGTTGCTAGGAAGACTTTTTCTAATATAAATGTTGAGGTCTTCATTTCGTTTGGAATAGATAGAACACAAGAAATAATAGAGAGGAAAAAGTTAGTTTAAAAAAGAGTTCTTATTAGTTGAAGGGAGGTGTTCTTATTGTGGAGTTTTGGACTCAACTCTTATCCAAAATTGCTGAGTTATAAATTTTGATTAGATTGTTGTATCCTAGAAGGGACAAGTCAAGAATATTAGATGTAGTGGACTTAAATTTCCTAAAAGAGAGCGAGATATATGAGTCTCAACCAAGGAGATTTTTGTTTCTTCATTTTATTTTTCAATTGTAAGCTTGTAATTTTGTTGTTTTGTTATTTTATACACATATATATAAGAAATGGGAATAAGCACGCGCGTCTCTGTCAACGTGTGTGCTTCCCTGAAAATAGCTTTGAATTCCAAGGGCATTTCAGAAATTTCACAACCACATGTTTATCTTTCCCCACATAAGCCTTAACACCTCCTTGATGTGGAACACCGCCATTTCCAGCTCTATTCTCTCTTCCTCTTTCTCTAATTTTATTAATTTCTTGTGAAGTTTGAGTTGCGTTCTCCACCAATTCTAACAACACATTCGTCTTCAAACGTTTGCCCTCACTTAATCTTTTCTTGTTCTCAAATTGGTACTTCGATGGTTACTATCTCGAGTAAGTTGTTATGAAATTAGCTAGGCATTTCATTTTTTCGTTTTCCAAAATCCGACAAATATTATGGTTATTCTTGGATTATGCATGGTTTAATTTAATTTTGTAAGGGCTTTTTAATTTAAGTGTATCCCACAATTTTTAGGTGTTTCTTCACTACCTGTTAAATGCACTTAATTTAATGCACTTCAGATACAAATTGCAAAACCAAAGAGTAGAAGGCAAAGTCATGGAATTAAGGACCCAGATAATATTATGGAACAAACTATCAGGCGTGCGATAAAGAGGAGTTCAAAATTGAGACCGATGGAAAACTTCAGCAAACCCAACTCTAAAATATGAATTTTGTCGTTGAATTGTGAAAATTGATATGCTCTTTAACATGGAAATACCTAATTTAATAGACTCTTTTCTTGAATTCCATCATTCTAATTTGTTTAACTGCATTTTACATTATTGTAAAATAGTGAAATGGATCTCTATTGTTGTCATCTTTCATACTCCCTTGATTCGTCACTTTTTTAAGTTGTTAAAGCGTCTACAGAGTTTTCACCAATATTCGATGGAAGCATACTTGGTATAGATGACAACGACACAACATATATTTGTGCTCGCGTGCTTTATTATTTAGATATTGTAATGATTTTTTTTGGCCTCATTTATATCAATTAATAGCTAAAGCAATTGAAGTTGTGACGACGCCAAGCCGGAAGTGCCTTTGTTTTTGTCTACTCTTAAGTGATTCTCCAGTGCCATGACAATTGTCGCGATTTGATCAAAATTTTGGTTACATTTTTGCTTCAGAAATCTTACTACTCCTCGATACATAGTAAATTGATGAATTCTCTCTCTGAATGCATTCACAAAATTCAGTATAACTTATACTTTTCCTTTGGGATAATGTACAAGTAATCCCTCAATCTATGCCCGAAATCCCAGAGATACACTTATATTATACTAAGGTTCTATTACCCTGAACTTATTTTATAAATAATTTTCTGCCCCTTTTTAGCCTACGTGGCACTGGTTTGGAAAAAAAAGTCAACTATCGTTGGGCCCACAAGATAGTGCCACGTAGGCCGGGGTAAAAAATTATTAATAAAATAAGTTTAGAGGTAATAGAGTCTTAGTATAGTATAAGTGTGTCTTTGAGATTTCGGGCATAGGTTGAGGGGATAGTTGAATATTATCCCTTTTCCTTTTGCTTTCTAATGTCTCAACCGTTTCCTTATTTATATGAGGTCCTACATAGTAGTAACTTTTATAGGTGTTTTACATAGGTTTGAAAAAATTACTTTTACGTTGCCTCTTCAACTTTCTTTGGTTCACTAGACACGCCATTAAAACTTTTTCTTCATATCCAACCTTAACTCTCCCACATTTAATATTTTATGATTCCTAATTAATTGTCCAAGTTTTATCTACAGTTTGTTTATATTCTTCTGATATGCTTTTTAGTGACTTTATTTCTTATTCAACTGCAAAGATACTATCCAATAGTCCAACTATGTTGATGTGCTGCATACTAAGCTTATATCAGCAGAAAATTTATTGTTTTATTACGCAACTCTGCTTTTAGAAGTAATGGTTTTCGTTCCTCAAACAAAGATGTTCTATCCAGGATCATCGTGCCACAACACCACCGCTTGGTTTCCTTCTTCTCTATAACACAGTGTTAGGTTTGGACATAAATTTCATTGATTTTTTTTGTTATGAAATTTTTCGATAATGAAAGTTGATCGTGTAACTTCAATTTCCCAATAATGACACTGGCCATTTCTAAAAAATGTACAACCTTCCATTTTTCCTAATTAAAAGGAGATTTTTTCTTTCTTTGTTAATGGTGAGTGAATTCAGCCGGCCAAATAGTTCTGTTATGCCGACTCAAATATGGTGGAAGCCTGAACACTATATGCGATACTTATATCTCCGACATGGTTTTCCATTTCACATGTGATTGGTACTTCAAACTTGCTCTATATTGTCGTCATTATGTCCTTCTGATGGAGTCCGGGTCTCATCTGTCTGTTTGTATTCAACGTCAAATATTTTGATATATGCTTTGGAACTCTTTCTTACTCTATGTTCATGATGTTGAGTTGTGGATTACTACTGAATGCGGAAGATTGCATATTATTTTGACTCAACTAAATTTCGCTGAAACTTTTGGAACTCATGTTTGATGATATGCATTTGAGTGCAAATGGTCTGGCTGCTCCAAGGGATTTTCTTGTTCCTGTTGTTCCCTGGTACAAAAATGGCTCCCATCCATGTTACACTAATTTACAGTAGTATAGTGTTGAACTACGTATTGCGAAGTAGGAATTATCTCCTTTTAATGTGGTCTCTTGGCATAACAATTTTGTCCCTTATAAGACGTCTCATTTCTAGAAGTTTCTTCATGCATCCTGCGACGATAATCCATGAGCTCTTCACAATTTCGTATATTCTTTTATTTATCTGACTCCTTTTAGCACTCTTCAAGCTGCTTTTCCGCCTTAGTTGCAAAGGAACTTTCTGATTGTTATATATACTTATTGTCACGACCCAAATCGGACCGCGACTGGCACCCACACTTTCCCTCCTATGTGAGCGAACCAACCAATCTAAACCTTAACATTTCAATATAATATCAAGTAATAAGTAATGCGGAAGACTTAAACTCATTAATAAAATCAATAACTATTATTATCCCCAAAATCTGGAAGTCATGATCACCACAAGAACATCTATGATCAAATTACTAAACTAAGAGTACTCTAAGAAGCTAAAACAAATAAAAGCTAGTCCATGCCGGAACTTCAAGGCATCAAGACATGAAGAGGAAGATCCAGTCCAAGCTAGAAGCATTAGCTCACCCTGATATCCGGAGTAATAAAGACTGGCTAGAGTTACTGTTGAGTCGAAGATGACGGCACGTTTGCTGCACTCCACAAGTAAACAAGAAGAAAACATAAAAGTAGGGGTCAGTACAAAACACGGGTACTGAGTAGATATCATCGGCCAACTCAAAATAGAAAACAATATATACCAAGTAATATCATAAAATCAACTATGATACTCGACATGTAGCAACAACAAGTACTATATCATTAACAATTACCGTCAAGTTCACACATGAGGACTCAAGCCTCAATACCATACTCATTTGGGAATTATGTTCATAAGATTGAGTATATTAACATCTTTCAAGATTCATTATCTTTATTTCTCTTGGTCGGTACGTGACACTCCGCTCCCTCATATTCATTAATCCTCTTGTGTCGGTACGTGACACTCCGATCCCCTAAATCTACGTGTCGGTTCGTGACACCCGATCCCCTAATTCTACGTGTCGGTTCGTGACACCCGATCCCCTAATTCTACGTGTCGGTTCGTGACACCCGATCCCCTAAATCTACGTGTCGGTTCGTGACACCCGATCCCCTAAATCTATGTGTCGGTTCGTGACACCCGATCCCCTAATTCTACGTGTCGGTTCGTGACACCCGATCCCCTAATCTCATTCTATCAATTCATCAAGCCTTCTCTTATACCAAGGCATCATCAATCTCATTACTTTAGTTCATCAAGCCTTCTTTTATACCAAGGCATCATCAATAACAAGAGATTAGGTTTTTTTATCAAGATTTGGGATTCAATAGCTTCATCATGCTTATTTCATCACAATCATATAATCACATTCATGCAAGCATACAATTAAGCATATAGCAGGGTTTACAACACTACCAATACATATCATTCGCTATTAAGAGTTTACTACGAATAGCATAAAAACCATAACCTACCTCCACCAAAGACTAGTGATCAAGCAAGCAAATTCTCAAAGCTTTGTTCTTCTTTCTTCCTCATTCGATTCTCCCTCTCTCTCTTGTTCTTTCTATTTTCTTTATTCAAAACCTTCTTTCTTTTACCCTAATTAGTATATAATTAAGAAGAAAAGATGGCAATAATAACCTACTAATTAACTTAAGGTTACCTCTTTTAACCCCCAAGTAATTAGACTTATTAACATTAACCCTCTAACTTTATAATTAAAGTAGGAATAGTCCAAAACGTCCCTTAAAACGTGTAAAGAAATCCGACCCAGGCTGGGATTTCGCAGTCTGTGACGGCCCGTCGCGCCTGCGACGGTCCGTCCTGCTGCCCGTCACAGAGTTCAGAGACTCAATTTCTCTGAAGAGTCTGTGACGGTCCGTCCTGCCATTCCGTCACGAAGTTTAGAGAGTCGATTTTCAGTACCCAATTTCAGATTTTCTAAGTGTTTTGAAACGAGACCCTGCGACGGTCTGTCGTGCCCATGACGGTCCGTCGCCTCAGCCTGTTTTTCCGGAAATAAAATCTGTTGCGCAAAACGACTAAACAAGGTCGTTACAATAGATACCAATTTACCCATCGTTCGTCCCCGAACGATCACAAGAAGGAAAACAAGGGCGAAAAGGAGTACCTGAATCTGTAAACAGATGTGGGTATCTTTCTCGCATATCTGCCTCCTTCTCCCAAGTGGCTTCTTCAACGGGCCGATTCTTCCATTGAACTTTGATGGATGCAATCTCACTTGATCTCAACTTGCGAATTTCTCTATCTAGAATGGCAACAGGCTCCTCCTCATAAGTCAAATTTTCATCAAGCAGGACTGAATCCCAACGAATAATATAGTTTCCATCCCCATGGTATCTTTTCAACATCGACACATGGAATACCGGATGTACTCCGGACAGCCCTGGAGGCAAGGCTAACTCATAAGCCACCTCCCCTACTCGCTTAAGTACTTCAAAGGGACCAGTGTACCTTGGGCTTAGCTTGCCTCTTTTACCAAACCGCATCACCCCTTTCATTGGCGAAACTTTCAACAAGACTTGTTCACCCTCCATGAACTCTAAGTTTCTAACCTTCCGATCTGCATATTCTTTTTGCCTACTTTGCGCCGCTAGAAGCTTTTCTTGAATAGATTTCACTTTCTCTATCGAATCCCGCAAAAGATCAGTACCCCAAGGTCTAACCTCGAATGCATCAAACCAACCAATGGGGGACCTACATCTCCTACCATACAATGCTTCAAATGGAGCCATATCAATGCTTGAGTGATAACTATTATTGTATGAAAACTCCGCTAAGGATAAGAAGCTATCCCAATGGCCACCAAACTCTATCACCACATGCGCGAAGCATATCCTCCAACACTTGTCCTTTCATTAATATGCATCACAGTGTTAAATAAGTTATCAAAAACATCTTTTTCAATATGCATGACATTTAAATTGTATCGAAGAAGGTTATGCTTTCAATAGGATTAGTCCCACGATATGCTCTATTCTTTCCCAATTATGTGTAGCACCATAATCAAGTATATTATATGGTGGAGAATTTGTTACCTTAGGTAGATCCCTAGCTTTATGCTAAATTTCTCACCAGATAAAGATGTTGGTGACTCTTTGAAATCACTTTGGTTATTCATAAATGTACGGATATTTCTCTTGAACTCATGATCCAATGGA